TGTTGTTTCTCAGTTAATCCCCTCTTTAAAAAAATACACTCTTTAAAATCATGAGCCAATCAACACACCACTTTCCTGGGATGTCACTGTTTGATTTGTTTTCCTAATCAGCAGACCTCTGAAGCTGCAGTTGTTAAATTCGGACTTCCCTCTGTCTGCTTCGTTGAAGCTGAAATGCTGGATCCCTGACTCCGGGCCTTAATTTATTGTACTGCTGACTCCCTTTCTCTGTTCAGTTGAAGCTGAAGAATGCAGCCTTACAAACCATTAACCCTGAAAAAGACCTTACAAACTATGAACCAAAAATAAACAAAAAGCACCACTTCCTATGTGCACTGAATTCCCAAGATGCACTAAATTTCCAGCAACACATATTCACTCAGGCTGTACCTCACTCTAGATGGTCTTCCAATAGCTCATGTAGAGCTTACTTTATCATGCGTTTTGGAAAGAATTAATATTATTAAGGAAATGGTGTTGGGGGAACTAATGGGATTAAAGTCAAATAAATCCCCAGGCCTGGCAGGCTTCATCCCAGTGTACTTAAGGAAGTGGCCCTAGAAAAAGCAGATGCACTAGCAACTGACTTCCAAAATTTTATCGACTCTGGAATAGTCCTTATGAATTGGAGGGTAGCTAATGAAACTCCACTATTTAAGAAAGGAGGCAAAGAGAAAACATTACAAAAAATGTGATAGCAGAGCACTCGGAGGACAGTGACAGGATCAGACAGAGTCAGCGTGGATTTATAAGGGGAAAGCTTGACAAATCTGTTGGAATTTTTTAGAGAATGTCAGGTAGATAAGGGTGCCTCAGTGGTGTGGTTTATTTGGATTTTCAGAAGGCTTTCAATAAGGTCTTACATAAGAGATTAGCTTCTAAAACTAAACCAGGGTCACAGCTTAGGAATACAACCTAAGATTTTTAGGATAGAGATGAGGAGGAATTTGTCAGCCAGAGAGTTGTTAGCCTGTAGAATTCTCTGCCACAGGAAGCTGCTGAGGCCAAAATCTTGAAGACACTAAGAAAAATGTAGATATAGTTCTTAGTCTAAAGGGATCAAAGGGTATGGGGCAAAAGCAAGAACAAGGTGCTGAGATGGGTGATCAGCCGTGATTAAATTGAATGGCAGAACAGGCTTGAGGGCCGAATGGTCTACCCCTGCTCCTATTTTATATGTTTTGATGTTTCCATTTCCTGATTTATTTAAATGTGTTCAATTTATCTACTATTTTCATATATTCCATTGTTTTATTTACTCTTTCATGGGAAGTGCACATCATCAGCTAAGTCAACATTTATCGTTCATTCTCAATTTTTTAAAAAATTCAATTCTTTCAAGGGATGAGGCCATCACTACCTGGGCCAGCATTTATTGCTGATCCCCAATTGCCCAGAGGGCAGTTAAGAATCAATCACATTGTTGTGGGTCTGGAGTCACATGTAGGCCAGACCAGGGAAGGATGGCAGTTCCCTTTCCTAAGGGATATTATTGAATTGGATAGATTATTCCAAAAATCAACAACTGATTCATGGTTACCATTAGATTCTTAATTCCAAGTGTTTACTGAATTCAAATTCCATCATCTGCGATGGCAGGATTTGATTCCATGTCTCCAGACATTACTGGTTTTCTGGATTAACAGTTCAGCAATACTACCACTAAGGCCATCTCCTCCCCTAAATTCATCAGATGCATTTGTTACAAGACTGACATTCAACCTTTATCAACCATTTCCCTATTAGATTCTATACAAAGATTTACTATATATTGTTTTTACATTTAGCTAGCTTTTCCCGTTCATAAGTTACAAAGATGCTTTAATATTGTTTGGAGGACTTCAGTTTTGAGGGATTGCGCAGAATTGATTTATTTTAAGTTAATGAAAATACCTAAACCTATTTCTTTGAAAGATGTCATTGAAAGTTCATTTTGCACATTTGAGTTTTTCTTTAACAAGACTTCCTAGAAACTACATGACACAGTGCTGTAGACTGCTGCTGGGGCTGCTTTTGAATATTGACTATTGTTCATTTCTGGTTCAGTTGGGGGAATGCCTACTCGGAACAAGCTGTGTTGCTATGAATGAGCTGCTCAACTGATCTCTCCCATTTGAAAAGGAAGCTTTCTTGTTGAGTTTGAAGTGAATTCTATTTATTCATAGAATCATAGAATCTCTACAGTGTGGAAACAGGCCATTCGGCCCAACAAGTCCACGCCAATCCTCTGAAGAGCATCCCACCCAGACCCATCCCCCTACTTCCTTCCCTGTAACCTTGCATTTCCCACAGCTTTGAGAAAAGTAATTGAATAAACATTAATATTGTATTCTCTGAATAAGCTGTGTCTGCAAAACTTCACAACAAGTAGAAACTTGATCACCCATGCCAGAACATCAGAGCAACAAACTGCAGAATATACTACACTTTATTCTTTTATATTTAAGATTAATCCATTAGCCACAGTATTGTTTTTCAGAAAGTCAATCTCTGCTGAAAATCAGTGCTTTTCTTTCTTTTCCTGTCCTGTTTTCATAATAAGCAAATAAGATTGTTTATCATTAATCTGGTTGATAGTTTTTTTAAAAAAATCTTAAAATTCTTTTTATATATGTGGTATTTAATTGCCCTTTTTTGGTAACTGGATAAAGCAATTTTATTTCTGTGTTGTGGCCCATAGAGTATTGGAGCTATAGAGACATTGCTCTCTACCAAACCTGGCCACAACCATGAACCTATTAGTCATACTTCACTGTTTTTTATATATAATCCAACCTTCTGAATTCTCACCTTTCTTTGCACAATTATATGCTTTTTCTTTAAATTTGACATGATCTTTAACATTTTAGTTAATCACAAATAGGGGTCCACCACTTGGAATTTTTCTTTCTTGTTGGAATGTTTCAATTCTTCTCATACTGAAATATTCATTTTAAATGTCTGCCATTGCACCTTGGCCTGAATACAATGAACAACAATATGTTCTTGCCTTTACTGTTTCTCTTCTCTGCTAAAACGTCATCTCCAAAACTAATGCCACCTCAGCATATTGTATCCATGATATTCTTGGAGAACAGGGCTATCCTACAACCTCTTCCAAGCTTCATGTACCCTTCAATTTTCAGGTCCCAGTCTTTACAGTCGTGCCTTTGCAATGGCTGTGACTTATGCAGTCACAGAGTCATACGGCACAGAAACAGCCCCTTCAGTGCAACTCGTCCATGCCAACCAAGTTTCGCAACTAAACTAGTCCCATTTGCCTGCGTTTGGCCTATATCTCTTTAAACTTTTCTTTATTCATGTACCTGACTGAATGTTTTTTAAATGTTCTAACTGTACCTGCATCCACCGCTTCCTCTGGCAGTTCATTCCACATACAAACCACCCTCTTTGTGAAAACGTTGCCCCTCAAGTCCCTTTTAAATCTTTCTCCTCTCACCTTAAAAATATGTTCTCTGGTTTTGAAATCCCCTACCCTCAGAAAAAGACCTGTGCTATTCACTTATTTATACCCCTCATTATTTTATAAACCTCCATAAGGTCACCCCTCAACCTCCTATGCTCCAGGGGAAAAAGTCTCAGCCTATCCTTATAACTCAAACCCTTCAGTCCCAGCAACATCCTTGAAAATCTTTTCAGAACCTCCTCCAATTTAATAATCTCCTTCCTACAGTAGGGTAACCAGAACTGCACACGGTATACATTTCTTTCTATTTGTGCTGACAAATCATTTCTGTAAATGAACTGTAGGCACAAATGAAAGGGTGTGGTGTGTGGGCCTAGTTAGAAAGATGGGTGTATCAAGTTCTGGTAGAAGAGGATGGGTGTTGGGTCTGGTGCCAGGGATGGGGAGTTGAGTATTTGAGGAAGAGGGGATGTGTCGGATCAGGGTCTGGAATGTGTAAAACAGCTCGCTCATGCCTCATGCCATTGTAATTTTGTTTATTTAAATTCAGGTTCCTAGTCTCAAAAACAACCATGTCACTTTCTATCTTAATAAAGAATTCTACCCTATTGTGGTCACTCTTCTCTAAGGAAAGGGAGGGGGGTTCTCAGGAAAATTTCAAGCAGTGGAGTCATACCAAACAAATTATTGACGATGTAGGCTGACAAGTTCCGGGCTTCTGATGCATTTCATTTCATGTGAAGATGTGCATTTCAGCAGGAAGAAAGAAAATACGTACATTGTTCAAACAGTTAGAGACTGCAACGCTCTGAGATGCAGATGGATTACAAAAGGTTATATGTAGGTGGACAAAGTAATTTCAAAAAGCTAATAAAATGTTATAATTTATCGTGACGGAAAGTGAATACAAAAAACAGAAATTGTATTTCAGTTATACAGGGCACAGATAACACTGCATCTGCAGTATTGTGCACAGTATTGGTTATCTTATTTAATCTCAGATATATATGCATTGAAAAAAGTTCAGTTTGCCAGACTAATGCCTAGAGTGGGCAAGTTGCCTTATGAGGAAAGGTTGACCAGGCAATGCTGGTCTTCAGAAGGGTAAGAGGTGACTTGATTGAAACTTTTAAAATCCTGAACTGTCTTGACAGGGTAAAGGTGGAGAATATGTTTCCTCTTATGGAAGACTGTAAAACTAGGAATGACACTTTAAAATTTGTGGATCTTTTGAACTATATTCCTGAAGTGATGATGAAAGCAGAATTCTTGAATATTTTTAGGAGCTGGACAGATTCTTGTTAAACATGGGGCTGAAAGATTGGGCCTTCTGATTGGCCCAGGGTGCCAGTTAAGGAGGGATTCTCTTGCCACCACTGGTTTAAGGCTATTATTTGGTTTTATTACTTCAATTAAGGACTTCCACCGGAATTGGCACGTGGGCTGCACAATGTCACCCACTTCTGCTGCTGGTAAAATTCTGATGGGGAAGGAACAGACAGCAGGTCACCCACTGACTTTAATTTGCTTTATTGCCTACATACTCGAAGCAGGAGAGTGATCCAGCCTAGTGATTCAATAACCTAATTCTTACCCTGTTAGGGATTTCTGGCAGACCTCCAGTTGTTCCTGTAAGTGAGGCAGAAGCTGTCCCATAATGTCATCACCTACACAGCAGTGGACAACGATTGGAATTTCATGAGCTCTCTGCATAATTTTTATCCATGATTTATCAACATTTTGAAATCGTTTTGCTTCCTAGAAAAAAAGAATGCATCCATGTCATCAACAGTTTGCAAAGTGAGAATGATGTCTGTTTAAAAACAATTCCTTGGAGAACTTCAGGTTAATTTATTTATTTTAAAAACTCTCAGAGAACACATTATTTCCATTGCCTGTTCAAGTGTTCGAATGAATCATTAGTGAAGATCAGCACCAAATAAATGTTCCCTTTCATGTGTGTCGCAAACTTAAATGACAAAGTGAGCTGTTAGTTCACCCTGTATTTTTTCCTGAAAAGCTCAAACACTGACCAACATATTCTTCACAGAATCACAGAATGATTACAACATAGAAAGAAGCCGATCAGTTGATCATGTCTATGCTGACTTTTGGAAAGAACACTTCACCTGTTACCGCTGTCCTACCTTCTCCTTGTGCCCTTGCACATTTTTTTTTATTCAGAGACAAGCATGCTACTGGCTGGCTCAGCATTTATTGGCCGTCTCTAGTAGCCTTTGAGAAGATGATGGTGAGCTGCTTTCTTGAACTGCTTCCATCCACATTGCTAGAGGTAGACCTACAATACAATTAGGGAGGCAATTCGAGGAATTTAACCTAGTGACAGTGAAAGAATGGTAATATATTTTCAAGTCAGGATGGTGAGAGAGCTTAGAGGGGAACTTGGAGATAGTGGTGTTCCCATGTATCTGCTGGCCCAGCTCTATGAGGTGGAATTGATTGTGGATTTGAAAAGTGCTGCTGAAGGATCTTTGGTGAATTCCTTCTGTGCATCTCGTAGATGTCACACTCGGTCAAATGTGGTCTTAATGTCAAGGGCTGTCACTCTCACTTAACATCTGAAATTCAGCTCTCTTGTCCACATTTGATTCAAGGTTCTAATGAGGTCAGTAGCTGATTGGTCCAAACGAGGCTTCAGTGAGCTGGTTATTATTCAGAAGATGCTGCTTAAAGCACTGTTGATGACACCTTCCATCACTTTATTGATTATCAAGAGTAGATGATGGGGCAGTAATTGTTGGAATTGGATTTGTCCTGACAGAATATACCTGGGCAATTTTCCACATTGTTGGGTAAATGCGAGAATTGTGACTGTAATGGAACGCCTGGCTCGGGGTGCGGCAAATTTGGAGCATTAGTCTACAGTAATATTGCTGGAATATTGTCAAGGCCCATAGCTTTTGCAGTATCCACTGCCTCTAACTATTTCTTAAAATTATTTGGAGTGAATCAAATTGGCCGAAGATTGGCATCTACGATGCTGAGGACCACTGGAGGATGCTGTGATGAATCATCCATTCAGCACTTCTGGCTGAAGACTGTTGCAAATGCTTCAGTCTTACCTTTGCACTGATGTGCTGGCCTTTCACATCAATGAGGTATTTATGGGAATACCACCACATGAAAGCTACATGCTTTATGAGCCACCCTTTTAACCTGCATAACTTTTTAAATGATTTATGCCATACGTACACCCAAGTCCCTCATAAACTCAAATAGAAAGAACTCTATGTTTAGAGGAACATATGTATATTGTGGATGGCATGGTGGCTCAGTGGTTAGCACTGCGGCCTCACAGCACCAGGGACCTGGGTTTGATTCCAGCCTTGGATGACTGTGTGTAGTTTGCATTTTCTCCCCATATCTGCATAGGTTTCCACCAGGTGTTCCAGTTTCCTCCCACAGTTCTAAGATGTGCAGGTTAGGTGAAAATGGCCATGTTAAATTGCCCTGTAGTGTCCAGGAAAGCGTAGGTAGATTAGTCATTGTAAATATGGGGTCGCAGGGATAGGGTGGGGGGCTTGGTCTGAGTGTGATGCTCTTTGGACGGTCAGCGTGGACTCAATAGGCCAACTGGCCTCTTTCCTCACTGTATAGCGCTCACATTTGGCAATGATTTGACAGTTTTTTTCACCTTTGGAAGAGAGGTTTGTGTGCAGTGTCTCATTAGTCTTTGGAGTCACCTTCTTTTCCAAACCTTCACTAGGTATATTTCTTCACTCTGGAATTGTCTTCTACAGGTCTCTGTTAGATTGCTTAATTTCTCCAAGGCAATGTCTCTACCAATCAGAATTCACTTGCCAATCAACCAGCACTTTTTTTTGTTCATTCATGGGATGTGGGTGTCTTTGGTTGGACTAGCATTTATTGCCCATCTCTAATTGCCCAAATTAAAAGTCAATCACATTGCTATAGGTCTGAAGTCACATGTAGGCCAGACCGGGGTAAGGGTGGCAGATTTCTTTGACGAGGTGACATAGGCAATAGATGAGTGTAGTGTTGTGGATGTTTTTTATTTGGACTTTCTGAAAACATTTTGTACGGTGCCACAGGGCAAATTGGTTAGCAAATTAGAAATGTTTGGGATTGATGGGCCCTTGCAGCATGGATTAGAAATTGGCTGAGGATAGGTATAGATGGGCATTTCTTGGTTTGGGATTGCATTAGAAGTGGTGTTCCCCAGGGATTGGTGTTGGAACCCATTTTTTTTTCTGATATATATAAATGTTTTGGAGATGGGTGTTGAGGTAAAATTCTCTAAATTTGCAGATGATACTATGGTGGGGAGAATAGTGAATTGTGAGGATGATGCTGAGCAACTTCAGAGGAGCATTGACAAGTTGGCCAAATGGGCAGACAGCTAGCAGATGAATTTCAGAGCAGAGAAATTGGACGTAATGCATTTTGGTAGAACAAACAAGGAGAAACAATATAGTCCTCAATGGTCCAACTTTGAAGGGAGTACAGGAGCAGAGATAGCGTGGTGTTCATGTGCATGAGTCTCTGAAGGTGGTCAGGCAAGTTGAAACAGTTGTTAAGAACATCTTTGGGTTTATAAATAGAAGCATAGAGTATAAAAGCAAGGAAGTGATGCTACACCACTAAAAAATCATTGGTCACGTTTGGAGCATTGTGTTCAGTTTTGGGCACCTTGTTTAAGGAAGGATGTTACATCCCTGGAGAAAGTTCAAAGCAGATTTACTAGAATGATACCAGGAATGAAGGACTATAGATAGAAGTGTGATGATACTCTGGCTTTAAGAGGTGTATTATGTAATTTTTTTATGGCGAGGTTGAGACAGAGATGCCGAGCGGTCTGTTCCAAGCCAATAAATTAAAATGTTTGTTAGGCCTCGGGGCTTTTTTTTAAGTTGGAACAATAGAAGCAGATTGAATGGTGGAGTCAGGCTCCCACAATTCCAGGGTTTTAGTTTAGCTTTCAGCAGTTGTTTGGGTTTTTGAAGCTCGGTGTGGAAACAGCTACAATTTTCTCTATTACAGCTAAAAGTCTGGGTTCTCTTTCTGCTGCCAGAATTGCATGTGAGACAATGTGTTTTACTGATTTTGTCTTTTCCATGGGTGTGTTTATGGGATGTTACTATATTGAAATAGTTGCTGTTTAGTAATTAAATAATCTATTATTCTGTTAGGTTTTCCAATAGAGTTGTAGTTATACCCATTTCTTCTTTATTTTGTTTGCATTTTAAATGTAGGGTAAGAATAAAGTGTGTTTTGCTTAAAACTAAATAGAGTAACCAATCGAATTATATCTGCAACCCAACACCTTACACTTGCCTTTGAATTAAAGTTAGGGTCTAGGCTATCTCCTTGGTATATTTGAGGGTGGGGGAGGTTGGTCTAATCTAAAACACAAGGAAAGATTAGAGAAATTGCCCTTATACTCCTTGGAGCAGAGAAAATTAAAGAGTGACATTACTGAGAAGTTGAAAATTATGAACAATTTTGATAGCATAAAAAAGGATATTTTGTTTCCACTAGTTGGTATGTCAACAACTGGTGGCCACAATTTCAAGATCGTCAGTAAGACAGCTAGGAGTCAGATGAGGACACATTTCTTCACTCAGAGAGTTGTTAGAATTTGAAATGAGCTGCCTGGGAAAGTGTTGGAGGTGGATTCCATTGGATGTTTCAAAAGAGAACTAGATATATATTTGAAAGTGGTGAAGTTTGAGGGCTACATAAAGGGATGGAGTGTGGGACTAGCTGTGTAGTTCTTTCAGGAGCCAGAACAGACATGATGGGGTGAATGGCCTCCTTATTTACTGTAAAAATTGTATGATTCTATTTGCTTCCCTAAATTGCATGAGTGAACCGGATGGGTTTTTCCCTGACAACTGACAATGGTTTTGTGATCATTATAAAACTCTTATTTCCAGACTATTATTGAATTCAAATTACACCGTTTGTCCTGATGGATTCAAGCCCAGGTCCCCAGAACGTTACCTGCTTCCCTGATAATACCACTAGACCATCACCTCCCCCTAAACTTTCACTTCATATGGCATAAAAGTTGTGTTTCTCCTCTATTCTTGTGAATTTGCCATGATTAACACAGGATGAAAAACTTTGACATAATACCTCGTCCTCACCCTTAACAACTTCTCCTTCAACTCCTCCCACTTCCTACAGACAAAGCGGGTGGCCATGGGTACCCGCACGGGCCCAAGCTATGCCTGTACCTTTGTAGGATATGTGGAACAATCCCTCTTCTGCTGCTACACTGGCCCTATCCCCCACCCCTTCCTCCGTTACATCGATGACTGTATCGGCGGCGCCTCGTGCTCCCATGAGGAACTCGAACAGTTCATCCACTTCACTAACACCTTCCACCCCAACCTTAAGTTCACCTGGACCATCTCTGATACCTCTCTCTCCTTCCTGGACCTCTCTGTTTCCATCTCTGGCAACCACCTGGAAAACGATATCTATTTCAAGCCTACCAACTCCCACACCTACCTAGAATACACCTCCTCTCACTCACCTTCCTGCAAGAATGCCATCCCCTATTCCCAATTCCTTCGCCTCCACCGCATTTGCTCCTGAGATGAGGCATTCCACTCCCAGACATCCCAGATGTCCTCGTTTTCCAAGGACTGCAACTTCCCCTCCACAGTGGTCGAAAACACCCTCGACTGCATCTCTCACGTTTCCCACAACTCATTCCTCACACCCCCTCCCCGCAATAACAATAAAGACAGAAACCCCCTCATCCTTACGTACCACCCCACCAACCTCCGGATTCAATGCATCATCCTCCACCACTTCCACCACCTGCAATCTGACCCCACTACCAAGGACATTTTCCCCTCCCCACCCTATCTGCCTTATGGAGGGACTACTCTCTCCGTGACTCCCTTGTCCGCTCCACACTCCCCACTAGCCCCACCACCCCTGACACTTTTCCCTGCATCCTCACCTGCCCCTACACCCCACCCCTCACCACCATCCCAGGCCCCAAAAAGACTTTCCACATCAAGCAGATGTTCACCTGCACATCTGCTAATGTGGTATACTGCATTCGCTGTTTCCGTTGTAGCCTCCTCTACATCGGGGAAACCAAGCAGAGGCTTGGAAACCGTTTTGTGGAACACCTATGCTCAGTTCGCGACAAATGATTGCACCTCCCAGTCGCGAACCACATCAACTCCCCCTCCCACTCCTTGGATGACATGTCCATCCTGGGCCTCCTGCAGTGCCACAAAGATGCCACCCGAAGACTGCAGGAACAGCACCTCATATTCCGCCTGGGAACCCTGCAGCCCAATGGTCTCAATGTGGACTTCACAAGCTTCAAAATCTCCCCACCCCCTACCGCATCCCAAAACCAGCCCAGCTCGTCCCCGCCTCCTTGACCTGTCTGTCTTTTCTCCCACGTATCCGCTCCTCCCACCTCACTGACCAACCCCCATCCCCACCTCCTACCTACCAGCCTCATCCCCGCCTCCTTGACCTGTCCGTCTTCCCTTGACTGACTAATCCCATCCTAACTCCCCACCTACACTCACCTTTACTGGCTCCATTCCCGCCTCCTTGACCTGTCCGTCTCTTCTCCACCTATGTGCTCCTTCATCCACCTTCCATCCACCTCCCCCCTCTCTCTATTTATTTCAGAACCCCCTTCCCCTCCCCCACTTCTGAAGAAGGGTCTAGGCCCGAAACGTCAGCTTTCCTGCTCCTCTGATGCTGCCTGGCCTGCTGTGTTCATCCAGCTCTACACCGTGTTAGCTTTGACAAAATATGTCTTTTTTTCAGAAATACTCATCTCCTGTTTTACCAATCATCTTTCTCAGATAGAATTAATAAATGACCTCACAGTAAAGAGGTAGCTAGGTAGCAGCAATCTTAATATGATTGTATTTTACATACAGTTTGAGGGAGAGAGGAATGGGTCAAAGACTTATATTTTAGAATTAAGTAAGGACAATTAAAATGACTTGAAAACAAAGTTAAAGAAAATAAACTAGCAAATTAGGTTAAGGAAAGGTTGATAGGGTTACAGTGGCAGGCAATTGAAGGATGTTTCAACACACACAAACTAGACAAGAAAAATAAATTCTAAGAGGAGAACCTACCATCTATGATTAACTAATAAGGTTGAAGCCAGTATCAAATTTAAAGAAAAGGCCTATAATTGTGTAAAGATGGATAGATGGACGGCAGGTCAGAGCATTGGACACAATATAAGAAAAACCATCAAAGAATGACTAACAATTTAACAAGGAAGGAAAAATTAGAATACAAGAGAGAGCTAGCTGGAAGTATTGTTTTAAAAGAGGTGTACAAGATGATGAGAGGCATAGATAGAGTGTATAGCCAAAGACTTTTTCCCAGGGTGGAAATGACTATTACAAGAGGGCATAATTTTAAGGTGATTGGAAGAAGACATAGGGGAGATGTCAGAGGTAGGTTCTTTACACAGAGAGTGGTGGGTGCGTGGAATGCATTGCCGGTGGTGTTAGTGAGTCAGATACATTAGGGACATTAATGCAACTCTTGGATAGGCACATGGATGATAGTAAAATGTAGGGTATGCAGAGTAGTTTGATCTTAGAGTAGGATAATAGGTCGGCACAACATCGTGGGCCGAAGGGCCTGTACTGTGCTGTACTGTTTTATGTTCTATGGTCTAAAAAGAGTTGCCCTTGAAATTTAAAAAGGAAAAGAATTAATGAAGTGAATGTTGAACCTACAGAAGGCGAATCTGCGGAATTAAGAATGGAAAATAAATAGAAGTCAAATTAATTAAGTCAATAGTTTCCGTCGATTTTCACTGTAGCAAATGCAAAGAACATTATAAAAATAGCTGTAAATCAGGAAATGGAAGGGAAGGAGGAACAGATAAGATTATGACAACACCAGGGAAGTGGTACTGAGCAAATTGTTGGTGATGCAGGCTGTCAAGTGCTCAATTTCTATGGACTTCATCCTAGGGTCTTTAAGTGCCCAGTGAGGGAGTTGATGCATTGGTTTTAGTTTTCCAAAGTTCCGTAAGTTTGGGGAAAATACCACTAACGTGCAGAAAGTCAAGGCGACAAAAAAGTAGGAAAATCAATGGCAGTTAGCTTCCCATTTATCATTGAACACAACGTAGCAGGGCACTTTGACACTGCCTGATTGGATAAATTTTCAAAATGATTTTGTGAAAGATAAACCAGATTTAATCAAGTTATTGCAGTTCTTTGAGGAAGTCATATGTTGTGGATAAAGGGGTGTCAGTGGCAGTACTTGGATTTCTATAAAGGATCTGATAAGGTGCCTCATCAAAATCTATGGCAAAAAAAAGCATTCATTGTGTAGGGGTAAGTTATTAGAATGATAGAAGTTTGGCTAACCAATAGGAAGCAGAGTGCAGGCATAAATTTGTAAACTTCTGGTTCACAAGATGTGCCATGGTGTTCACAGCTGAGACCTCAACTTTTACAATTTAAATAAATGACTTAGACAAAGGGTATGAAGGAAAGCATGGTTGCTAGATTTGCTGATGACCATAAGGAAAGTAAAAAGTAAGTTGATAAGAGGACATGAGATTATGATGGAAAATAAATTGTATAAATTGACAAAGATTTGGCAAATAGAGTATGATGTGGGAAAATGTGAGAATGTCCATTTTGAAAAGAATAAAAAGAAGCATATTGTTGAAATGGTCAGAGATTGCAAACCTCTGAGACATGGGGGAATTTGGGTGACACCAGTGTATTATTCACAAAACATTAGTATGCAGGTTCAGATAGTAATTAGGAAAGCTAATAAAATATTATTAGATGCTACAAGGAGATTTGAATTTAAAAAAAGCAGGGAGTAATGCTTCTATATACAAGACATTAGTGAGGCTGCACCTGAAGTAATGTGGACAACATTGGTCTCCTTACTTAATAATGTAAATGCATTGATAACACTTCAGAGAATATTTACTAGACCAGTACCTTGAATGCGTGTTTTTTTTTTAATATGAAAGTTTGGACAGATTACACTTGTACCCACTTGAGCTTAGAAGGTTCAGAGACTACTTGGTTGAAACATCCGGAGGGGTCTTGACAGGGTCAAAAGGATATTTCTTCTTGTGGGAGTTTAAAGAATTAAAGGTGTAAGAGATTGTCTGTTTAAGACAGAGATGATATTTTTTGCTCGTTTACAGACAGGCTTGTATATGCACTGTGCCTCTTTCAACTCAACAAAATAGGTAACAGCCTGCGCTGGTCCATTTTTCAGTAGAATATCCTGAACTAATTCACAGTCAACCTGTTTTGGCTAAAATTTAAACAAAACCAGGAAGTTAACTGTCAATCACCATTAATTGTTGCATTTTTCATGACAGAATCTCTACCAATCAGAGTCCATTTGCGAACGAATCAACATTATCCTCTCATGCAGTAAAAATATTGTTTTCTGCTTGAATTAGTACTCTAGTGAATTATCCTGGTGAGTGCAAAACAAAAACACTTAAGTTTTTTTTCTGCAATAGCTATCTCATCTCTTTCTCTTCCAATATTCTTTTTGCCTGACTGCATAGTTATGCCATTGATTTGACTCCACCTGCAATACTTAGATGAAACATCACTCCTTTCATTATTTAGAACTGAATATTGGTTGAAGAGTGAGATGTAGTTAGGGGACTCCAGTACTATTTCCCTGTTTCTTCTTGACTGCTTAGTGGTCATTCATTCTCTGTCTCTCCCCATATTCTTAAGCTGTGGAAAACCCAAATCAATCAATATGGTATCTAAGCAAATCTCAATTTCAGAGATGTGCCAAATGCCACAAGCTGCTGCTCAAGCTCCAAATCCAGGAACATGTTACTTTCTAATTAATCTGTCCAAGAATTAAAGCAAGACCAATAAATGTAAAACATGGCGATATTCATTTTTGGAATGTCTAAATTAATTGTATAAATTACCTGTGGCAGTTGTTTAGCAATATCCCCTCCAACAAAGACAGCCTCCAAATAAATCCACAGATTTTGTACTAATAGCCACTGTTCTATTATTGTTGTGCATGCTGTCAGATTGTGCACCCAGAGTTGAATATCCTTTTTATAGTAAGCATTATACCTGCAAGGGAAAAAAAACAATGCCAGAAGTCTAATAAGTAATAATGGATTGACAAATCCATTTAAAAGCTACACTTCTTCAATTTTAACATTAAATGGAATTAAATAAACACCTCCAGTGGGGAGCTAATATAGATCTGACGCAAACCCACGACCACTTCCATCCAGAAGGACAAGTGCAACAGATACATGGGAACAACACCATCTGCAAGGTTCCCCAAAAGCCACTCACCATCCTGATTTAGAAAGATACTGCCGTTCCTTCACTGTTGCTGGTCAAAATCCTGGAACTGCTTACCTAACTGTGGGGCTAACTACATTACGTGGACTGCAACAATTCAAGAAAGCAGCTCATCACCACATTCCCGACAGTAAATAGGGATGAACCATAATTGGTGGTCATCCAGTGATGCACACATCCATGAGTGGATAAAAAAGGCAGATAACTACCATCCTCTACAGAACTGGGGTGCCAATCAGCAACTTGCTTTGTCCTGGATGGTGACACCTTGAGTGTCAAGGAGAAATAGTTTCATTCTCTATTGTTGAAGGTAGACATTGCTTGGCACTTGTATGGTATGAATATTAATTTCTACTTAGCTATCCAAACCTGGATGTTGCTCAGGTCTTGCCATGCATAGTGGCATGGGTGGCTTAAGTCTCTAAGGATAATTGTACATGATAATGGTTCAAATCATCAACAAACATCCTCACTTCTGACTCTATTATGGAGGGGAGAGTTATCTTTGAAGTGGTTGAAAATGTTTGGGTCTAGGACGCTACCCTGAGGAACTCAGGGCATTGATGCCCTGGGGCTGAGGTGACTGATCTCCAACAAACCCAATCATCTTCCTTTGTGTCAATATGAGCAATGGTGTTTTTTTCCCATGATTCCCATTGACTCCAGTTTAGCAGGGTTTCCTTAATGCCACACCTGGTCAGATGCAGACTTGATGTCAAGAGCAGTCACTCTCACCACATCATGGAGTAGAACTCTTTTGACCATGTGGGGACCAAGGCATTAATGAAGACAGGAACTGAGGGGAATGGAACCCAAACTGAGTTTCAGTGAGCAGATTATTGTTGAGTAAGTGGCACTTGATAACACTATCAAGTTCCCTTACCGAGCTGATGATCGACAGTAGATCCTGATGGTGGGGCAATAGGCTGGATAAGGCATTGTCTTTTTTTTTTGTGTGTAGGCCATAACTAGGAAATTTTCCACATTGTCTGATAGATGCCATCATTGTAGCCGTACTATAACAGTTTGGCTTGGGGCATGACAAGTTCTGGAGCAGAAGTCTTCAGTATAATTGGCAGAACGTAATCAGGGCCCATTGCCTTTGCAGTATCCAGTGCATACAGCTGTTTCTTGATATCACACAGTGAATAAAATTAGCTTAAAGTTGGTACTCATGATGATGGGTACACAGAAATACAGGAAATAGAAACAAAAATCAGCCGTTCAACCCTTCGAGTCTACTCTGCTTTTCAATATGATCACGGCTGATTATCCAACTCAGTACCCTGTTCTGCTTTCAATCGAAAACTTTTGATCCCTTTAGCTCAAAGAATTACACCTTTCTCCTTCTTGAAAACATTCAATGTTTTGGCCTCAACCACTTTATGTGGTAGAAAATTCCACAGGCTCATCACCCTCTTGGTGAAGAAATTATTCCTAATTACTCCTAAGCTGCACACAGTATGCCAGGTGAGGTTTCACCATGGTCCTGTATAATTGCAGCAAGATATATCTCACTATGAAGGTCAACATATCATTTGCCTTCTTCACTGCCTGCTGTACAATATCGCTTACCTTCAGCGACTGGTGCACAAAGACACCAGGTCTCGTTGCATCTCACATGTTTTTGATCTATCGCCTATCAGATAATGATCCTCCTTCCTGTTTTTGCTGCCGAAGTGGCACTTCATCTTCACTCACTTTGTCCAAATTACATTGAAGCATTTCTGCATCCTCCTCATAGTTCACCCTCCCACCCAGACATGTACCTCAGATAGAGACCAAGAGGGATTATCAAACTGGTACTTCTGGCTGAAGATTCTTGCAAATGCTTCAGCCTTGACTTTTGCACAAATGAGCTTGACTCCCCTATTATTGAGGATGGGGATATTTGAAGAATCTCCTCTGCCTGTCAGCTGTTTAACTGATCACCATCATTTATGACCAAATGTGGCAGTACAGCAGAGATTTGATCTACTCAATGGTTGTGCAATCATTTAGCTCTGTTTATGACATGCTGCATCCACAGCTCGAAATGCAAGTAGATCTGTTCTGTAATTTCAGCAGATTGATACCTACTTTTGTATATGCCTGCTGTTACACCTGCATTCTTCATTAAACCAGTAGTTGATCCCTGGCTTAGTAGTAATGATAGTGTGAGTGATATGGCAGGCATAAGGTTACAGACTGCAATTCAATATAATTCTGCTGCTGTTGTTGGTCAAAGTGATCCTCATGGATGTAGTCCTGAGTCACAGTATCTGTTCAAAATCTCTCCCATTGTGTATGGTGGTAGTGCTACATAACACAATGGAGATAGTCTCAATATGATGGCAAGACTTTGACTCTATGATGACTGTGCAGTAGTCACTCCTACTGATACATAGAACATAGAACATAGAACATAGAACATTACAGCGCAGTACAGGCCCTTCG